ATTTTCCATTATGTTGCCAGCAAACTGAATGTGTAAACCGCCTAACTCGAAACAAATGGCAGCTGTAAATAGGTAAGGTAGGTCAAAGATGAGCTCAGCGAGCCACACCACATCGCCGAGGGAGCAAGAGTCGTTAGTAGCTGCCTTTTGTTTCGAGTTAGGCGGTTTACACATTCAGTTTGCTGGCAACATAATGGAAAATCGTGTCGTACGTTTTAGTATGTAGGGTACTGTGTACTATATGGCGAATGTACTGTCACTACTGTGTACGATTTAAGCTCAAGTTGGTTGAGTTACGCGTAGTAAATCGTAGGTATTCTAAGGTAAGGGTAGTAAATGACGAATTTCCCTTGTTTATTGAAGTCACACTCCTTCCCTATTATCTACTTCTGATCACATGCATTTCTGCAGTTTATTAATTAATGTGTAATTACTTTGCACATTAATTTACAACACGTTTAATGCAAAGCAAACCTTTGAAATTGGTGTTTATAAACACGATGGCACAAAAATGAAAACAAATGCCTGTAGTATTGTACACACAGACAGACAGTGAGACACCTAGCTCAGTCTCAGTAGCTGGGCTGTTTAAACAATAAAATGATGGTGAATGAACACAAATTGTATTTACTTCCAAACTCTGTCTTTGTGTACTATAGATCTATATAGCCTATTATTTCCACGTAAATGCCATTCAAAGGCTTCTCTGCAATGCACAATGTCACTGCACAAACCTACACAGAATGATAGGGTGTGTGAAAGCACAAGCGTCAAATTTGCACAACGCTTACTTCCTCTCATACGACATATAGATCTTCACAGAGCAAAAACTAAAACAACTGTCTACATATTGTTGTCTATAGGAAGCCAAACTTCTACTGATCAATTCGTATTATCACTCTTGCACTTGGGTACGACTTATTCTACCCAGGAAAATCTTTGTAAACTGGAGCAACTGTGTTTTTTATACATGAATAATGGTGACACATTGCATTCTATGCATAGCTCCCTAACTAGTTCCAAGCTGTAAGACGAGCCATGCCATTCTGCTCGAATATAATTTGCGCAAGAACGTTCATTGACCAAACTATCTAATAAAGCCGATAAGGGTTTTCAGATGATAAACGGTAGGGATGGGACGACATGGGTAGGTCATGATACGATCCGTATCACGGCATATCTTTTGTGATACGATACGTATTGCAATGCTTTGAAGTTTGTTTTCTGATGAAACTATGCTACCAAATGATATGGATTTTATTCAGTAGTGTATCACAAATAATCGACCATGTATTGGTTTGTGTATTGTCGATGTTTATATCACAATAGGTTGATATCAGGGTATTTAGCCAGGAATGAGTAATATTGTGGGAGTGGAATTTTTGTGTGTGTCTCAGCCAAGACCGCCGTAGGCGTTCACGGGTGGGGGGGGGGTAGTATGAGAGGGGTTCCCACGGAATCCCACCTCTCATTTGGGGGTACGGAAAATTGTTTAATTTTGAAATTTTTTTGGCCGTGCAGTTTCAAAACTGACCGTGCAAATCACGGCTGCACGGCTCGCTGGCTAATACGTTGGTTGATATATCGATTAATCGTCCCACGCCTAAGAAACGTGCAGTTGCTCCCGTTTGTGAAACCCCAGAGAGCCATATTCCTGCAGGAATTTATGGTATTTCTTTACGAACCCAAATTGTATTCAAGTTCGAGAGTGATAATTCGTACAAGTGAACATTTGGCTATGCACATATATACCAACATGAAGACCTGTGGTTGTTTGTGTGTTGAGCTGTGAATGTGTGAAGTGAAGCGAGCGTTGTTCGAATTATATAACTTCCGAACTATAGTATTCTATACTAGGACATTTGCATGTGGTATACACCACCTGCTAAATGGAAGTGTGCAGGAAAATCGAAAAAATTCAACCAATTAGTCAAACAACTATGTACAGTGCTATTTTACACAGTTAGAATATTCTACCTATATACCAGTACTAGCCTAAAATCGTATTCCTTACAATGTTTCAGAGTGGCCCCACCCAGAAGGGTGCCAGCTGGCGTAGGTTTTGGCAGGGGAGCCCCTCTCGGTAGATTTCTTGCGCAGCGGTAAGTATATTCGTCGTTTTGGCAAGTATATTCATTGACTTCCCTTCATTTGTATGGGAGCCAAGGTGTTAATAATGCTCAGCTAAAAATTACCACAAAATGTTTAATCAAGGACATTGTGCCTGATCTTGCAGACGGGAAGCAGCCCCAATTGGACCCCCACCTCCCAAACGTCGCCCAGGAGTCATCTTCAGCCGGTAAGTTGACCAGTTTTGTCACGTTAGCTATTGCACGTATGTAGTGATGGCAATATGTAAATTTTAATTCCCACTTTGTTGTTTGTCTTAGAAATCAGTCTGAAAACCCAGCCAGTCTTGATTTCGATATTGGTTTCTACTATATAACCTATAGTAAAACCCATACAAATTAAGGGGTCTTTTTCAAAAACTACCAGCTGCAGACTGAGGGGAGTGGTTCTATTTCCAAGACTGCTTCAGTGTCGTGTATATTTTGACAAACCGATTTGTCTATTGTGCAGGTGTTACAGTTGCTTGAATGTGACACTGAGTTTTAAAGAAACTGCGATGTGGTACTGATTTTGTGGTTTTAAGATTTAGCTATCAGGATTTGTTCTTTCTAAACAAATCTGCTTAGTAGTAGTACAAATTCGACTAAATTAATGGCAGAATAATTCAATATGCAGGATAGACCAAGTTACTAAAAGGTGTATCCGCGTGTAGGAAACAGGTTTTTCGTACACCTGACATGTATGCCGATAAAGCTGAATGTACCTACATTCAGCTTTATCGGCATACATGTCAAGTTGTCAAGTCTACCTAGGTAGAAATAAAGATCTACAAAAGGCAGCACAATATAAAGATGCATGAACATTGTTTGCATTTTCCATTTTAGTTAGAATTTTTTGATAGTTATTACTAAATATTAAGGTGCAATTTGCTGATTCACAGAGTGCTATGGGGTACATTTTGAATGTGTAAACCTTTGGTTAATCAAATCCTTACAGATTCATTTGGCAGTCTTCGCAAATATGCAAGAAATTGGGAGGGATGTATACATTTTAGAACCCTGAACATTGTTGTATGAAGGTTGGCTGGTTTCCCATCTGATGTAGTTGCTGGTTGAATACTTACCCTAGCAAAGCAGTAATTTTGATCAATTGTCTATGTGTAGGCTAGGGCCACGCTCAGGAGGGGGGCGAATTTCACTTGGACAGGATAGTGGGGATGAGGATGAACTTCCACACAAGGTAAGGAAGCTAAGCATCACTCACTGTAGGTAATATTACATGGACAGACCACCCACCTTTAGGCACTTATACCTGAACAGACGATCAACCTGACGCCAATATTATTTCAACAGGCCACCCACCTACAAGTAATATTACATGCACTGGCATCGCCATGCAAATTGCAATGCAATATTGGGCGACTAGGAATTCTGACTAAAATTACAGGTGTTTAAAATTTGTTAATCCTTTCTGTTATGCAAACTCCAATGTTTATCAATTCTGGGGGCTTGACCTGAATTGCTGAACCCTTAATAAAGCAGGTCAAGTCTCGATCGTTTGGTCTATGGTGTCTGTCTGATGAATAATTGAACTTGTTTTCATTCTGCAGCCCACTGTCCAGTCTTCCATCGTGGTTACCCAGCCAGAACCTCGCTCAAAGCAAGAGGTAATAGACAAACAGAACACAATTGACACCAGAGGCAAGGACAGGTGAGTGGACACAAGGTTACAGATGCGTACAAATAAAATATTTCATGATTCGTGCAAGTTGTCTAGCTGTACAAAAGATTGAGTGGAGACTATAAGTGCAGTTTGATTCTTCTGGCATTGCTCTGAATTTTGTACTTAATTGCTATTTTTTAATGTCGCATTTACATATGGTCATAATCACGATGGTTCACACAGAGCTTTCAGTTTAAATTGTTTGGAATGTTGTTAGCTAGAGCTGTTTATGTTTGCTTTTAGTGGTGTTAGTAATTTTCGTGGGTATAGCTGACTTGTAGCTCATTATTAGTGTGGCGGTGCTATATTGCATATTACTCGCACCTTTATAGTACAGATGTCCAAAGGTACAGAATAACGGCTTAATTTCTATTAATATTTTGAATAGGAATCGTCGAATGTTTGGTCTACTACTTGGCACCCTTCAGAAGTTTAAGCATGAAGCCACAGCTCATGAAAATGTGGAGAAAGTAAGTTGCTCATTGTCTGAATGCCATTAGTATTGGATTTCTTCCCTGTCTGTACTCGGTTTCTAAATCAAAGTTGAGTAGATTTGGGAATATTTTCGTCTACCGCATTACTATATATAATTATGATGGTATACAGTAATATCTATCCTGTCGCAATTTTTTTAATTGCACGATTGATTTCTTTATTTGTGGTTTACTATTAATAAATCATTACCACAATTGCAGCACCGGTTTCACATATTCGTGGTTGATTCATCACTGCCGTACCTAAAAATTACAACCACAACGAGAATTTTCTATAAAAAAATGGATTTCCAGCATTCATCTCGCCGGCTTTGTTTTCCCTTAACTCCATGTTTCTCATTGAACGAATTCATCGTTCATGGTTCTAGTAATCGTGGCATTTTTCAGGGACATACCCTCCCCCTCCCCCCGACCACCACTAGGGGTAACAGTGTCATACCTAATTCGGAAAGGAAAGATTTGAAGAGCGTTGTGCTGCCATGAGTAACAATAAAAATTAAAATCGGTGCGAGTTTATATCGGACGTCGCTTGTGCTGTCGTTGTAGGTGCAGCGTCGGCAGGTTATCGAGAAGAAGCTGGAAGAGCATCAGAAGCAGGAGAAGGAGGATGCTCGAAAAGAGCGGGCTGGGCTGTGGCTGGCGCGGCGTGAGAAGCAGCGTAACATCCGCAGGCTGGAGCAGAAGATGGAGCTTGTGAAGATGGTGAGTGTGCGCGTGTTGATTGTAGGCTCGGCGTTTGGAATGTGCCAGTCTTGGAGATAAGTTTGAAAACTCGGCCAATCCTGATTTAGATTTTTTTCCATATTATTACTATGTAACTAACTTATTATGTTACTGTTGCACCCAGAGAAGTAGGTAGTGGGCTGTCAGTTAGAATCTGTGTCATTTTCTACCATTAGTTTGAGCAATGGGAAGAGCAGAAACGACAGCTGATGAAGTTTGTGCAGACCAAGAGCAAGCCACACCTGTTTTACAAAGCTAAAACCTCTCACCCTGTACTCACCTTGCGACAGAAAGACACTACCCAGAAAATAGAAGGTCAGTAATGTGTGATTTTCAATCAACCATGTTTATCAAATGCCTGTAATGTATTGGTTATTCCTGTGTAGTAATATTCTTTTTATTTTTCTTTGTTTTTTCCAATTCCTCATTGTTCTGTATTCAAGCTTTTTTTTACTTTTTCTGTATGCCACATAAAGCAGCTTAAATGTGGTTACACTGTAAAAAGGTATTCTCTAAAATTACTCTGCTTGAAATTTAAGTTGGTTTATGCTCTCATAATCTTAGTTGTATGTACTAGTAGTAGTATAGATGCCGCTATTGGTTGGCATCTAGCATTTAAAGGAGTGTAGTGTTACTGGATTGTGCCTGAGTGGTTAGACCCTGACCACAGGGGCAGTCCCTCACACTAGTTTAGATGAAAACCCTATACGAATAAAAATATATCAGACCTTATATAGATCATTCGCAATGCGTCGAAAGAACAAGGTTACACCTGTTTTGTGGTTTTTCGATTTGAAGAGATGTTTATTAGTTGTGCTCACCTTCAGGGGGCACCAGCAGTCAGTTGCTGACTGGAGCGTTTTGGTTTCCCGATTGCAGATCTCATAGCTGTGCGTAAGAAGGAACTGGAGGAGGAGCTGGGCCGTCTGGACGGGATACTTCCGGACGACGACGAGGAGGCTGATGAGGGGGAAGAAGTGGAGGCCGGACAGGAAGACCACATGGAGGTCGACATTGCGAAGGAGGCCCACGGCGGCAAATCGGAGCAGCAGGAAATGGAGGAGGAAGTGCAGGATAACAAAGAAAATTCGGAGGAAAGAAGTAAGGGCATGCTGGTTAGCTTCAAGTCCACAGAATTTGAAAAGTTAAAGGTTTCTCATACTAACTGTTAATTGACATCATAATGATTTGTAAAGATGCCATAAGTCATGTGTCAGTTTTAGATGATTTACTTTTAAAACTGCAAGATTTACATGACTACATTTGTAAGCAGTAAGGTAAAGTATGTATGGGTAGGTACTATAGAGACATAGTTCTAGCATAGATTAGTTAGGATTCAGCAATCTAAAGCCTTGTTAAAGTTATTTCGTCACAAAAATCCATTAATTTCTCAACCTAGATTATGTCATTGTAACGGCAATAATACTGAAAAAGTACTGCAATTGTACCGTAAATCCAAGTCGTTTTATAATTCTGTTGTTAAAAAACACGCATGCCTTCACAAACATTTGCGACGTCTTCGTTCCAGGTGTCAGCGATGAAGCTGAGGCTGAGAGGGAGGTGGTTCAGAATACAGGTAACGAGGGAGCGGGCGTTGGGGACGGGGCGGGTGATAGCGACGCCGACGACGGCAAGGTAGTTGCAGGGGCGTGGGGCGAGGGAGACAGTAAGATGGATGTCGACGGCGACGAGGGGTGTATGAACGGTGATGACAACGATGGTGACGCGAGAGAGAGCGGCGCACGGCGGGGCGCCGATGCCTCCGTCGACAGCGTGCTCGACGGGGAGGCAGCTCGGGGGGAGGGAGCCGAGGGCGGGAGTCGGCACCGGCGCAGTAAGCGCGCGTCGAGAGAGGCGGCAGAGGAGGAGGAGGAGGAGCGGCTGCTGCGCGAACTCGCAGCGCGGCAGGCTGAGGAGCAGCACCTCAACCGACAGCTGCAGGAGCGGGCCGAGGCAGCGAGGGGTCAGACCGAGGCAGCGAGGGCTGAGACCGAGGTGGGGAGGGGTCAGACCGAGGCGGCCACCGGCGTGCCGGACGCAGGCCAGCAGGACGCGACGGAGCACATCGCGGCGACGGCGGGTGAGCGGGTGGGAGAGGACGTAGGAGATGGCGTGCCGGGGGAGGAGGGCGAGCCGGCTGCGGGGGCCACGGTGTTCGCACACTCGGGCCAAACGTCGTCATCTTTCGGTGAGACGGAGGGCGTGCAGGGGTCAACAATAGCGGGGACCGTAACGGGGAGCGTAGCGGGGAGCGTAGCGGGGAGCGTAGCGGGGAGCGTAGCGGGGACCGTAACGGGGAGCGTAGCGGGGAGCGTAGCGAGTAGGAGCATCGAGTTGGCGCAAGGCGGGCAGGATTTGAAAGGAACAAGGGATGAGATGTCGGAGAGCGAGAAGAAAGTAGTCGAGCATGTGGTGAAGGCCGAGAAAGATGATGGTAGAGTGGGTAGCGATGAGGACGAGAAGGTCTCGTCCAAGAGAACGAGGGAGAAGGCAGATAGGAGGAGCAGCAGATCAGAGAGGTCGCACAACCGAAGAAGCCGGGAGAGAAGTAAGGGCAGTCGGACGCCCGAGCGCGGTAGGAGAAGGAGGTCCCCAGAGATGGGCGCGGATGGAAAGATGTCCGACAAAGGCAAGAACAAAAGTAAGGACAAACGAAATACTGGGGAGACTAGAGACAGGACACCTGACAAAAAACGGGACAGGACGCCGGACAAAAAACGTGACAAGACGCCGGACAAAAAACGGGACAGGACGCCGGACAAAAAACGTGACAAGACGCCGGACAAAAAACGTGACAGGACGCCGGACAAAAAACGTGACAGGACGCCAGACAAAAAACGTGACAGGACACCTGATAAAGGTAGGGACAAAAAGATGCCCTTAAAGAGTCGAGAACGAAGGAGAAGCGCGGATAGGCGGGGGGAAGCACGCAAGCGTAGCAGGAGCGCTGGCAGAGACAGGAGGAGTGGAAGCAGGGGCCGGGGGAGGAGCCCGAGGAAGGGCAATGCAGAGAGGGAGGGGCGGCCGAGCCGCGACCAAGGCGGGAGGGGGGACAAGGGCTCCTCTTCGAGGCGGAAGAGCACGGAGAGGCGGCGGGGTTCCCCGGTGCGCGGCGGCGCAGGTGGAAGGCGGAAGGGTTCGTCGTCACCGGCAAAGCCGCGTGCGCGTTCCCGCAGCAGCAGCAGCAGTAGCGGCAGCAGTAGCAGCAGCGGCAGCTCGTCCCGCAGTTCGAGCAGCAGCAGCAGTGGGTCCACCTCTGGAGCAAGCGACGGCGAGCGCGTGATCACGGTGCTCGGCTCCACCGTGCCCGTGCCGATGACGCGGCGAGACTTTGACAGCGCAGCAGGCGGCGACCGGGACTGGGAGAGAGACAGAAAGAGGCGGTAGACACAGCGTAGGGGCAAGAGAGGAAGCGGTGGTAAGCACGGTGTAGAAGAAAGAAAGAAAGCGGAGGTAGGCACGGCGTAGGAGCGAGAAAGGAAGCAGAGGTAGGCATGGCGTAGGAAAGAGAAAGGAAGCGGAGGTAGGCACGGCGTAGGAGCAAGAAAGGAAGCAGAGGTAGGCATGGCGTAGGAAAGAGAAAGACGGGCGGAGTAGACAGCAGCGTGAGCAAACAGGAAGCAGAGTAAGCATGCGAGGAAAAGAAGAAGCGGAGGTTGGCATCGGCGAGAGAGCAAGAAAGAAGCCGAGTAGGCATCTGAGCGTACGGAAAAGAAAGGAAGCGGAGGTAGACACGGCGTAGAAAAAGAAAGGAAGCGAGTATAGGCATGGCGTAGGAAAGAGAAAGGAAGCAGAGGTAGGCATGGCGTAGGAGCGAGAAAATAAGAAGGGTAGGCACGGTGGGCAGGGGTGGGAGTGGGAAGATCGGTGTGAGTATAAGATGCTGGGCTGGGAGGGGTTGAGGGAGAGCGTAGTGAGCAGTGCACGTCTGTTTAGGAGTGGGATAAGGCGGCAGTCGGTCATACGCCGGGACAGAGGTGCGGGAAATCCGCCATAAGTCGAGAAAATGCGCGCAGCACAAAAAGTGATGATTAAGCAGCGGTGAGCGCTTGCAAGCTAGGTGATGCAAATCAATTGCCGCGAGCAACATTCGTCTATATGCGGGCTCCGCTATTACTGTGGTCAGGACAGGTTGCTTTAGTCAGCGAAACGAAATGGAAATGCCTCTCCGGCTCGAGTTGAACGCAAACTTCGGCGAACGTCGTTAAATGAACTTGTCAATTCATAAGTAAACAAGAGTGCATACGCGCGCCCAGTTAAGCGGCTCTGCACACTAGTAGGTGTGGTGTGTGGGCAAGTGCAATACGGAATACCACCCGCTGCCGTTGGCCACCAAGCGGCAGATTAGAACAAAAAATACGAAAGTGGCGCCACGTGTCATCCGCGTCAGCGAGCGGGAGCACGTTAGTTCTGGGGCACTACCCTTTGGTAGATCAGATTTCATACATGGTCCGATTTGTCAAACAATGTCGTCTGTCGACGTGTTTTGTGTTTGACGCTGTTACCTCGTTGGCGTCGTTCCGTCGGTGTACATAGAGCGAGTACGCAACATATTTTGCGTTCGAATTGGTTTGTGAATTATTGTTGCGGAGCTAGTGTGTTCTCGTTAGTTTTGTCGTGTCTCAGCTCCATTCGGCTCCGTTGCGAAATAAGATTATCTATTAACGTGGTAGACGTCTTTTAGTGTTCTTGAATTGATGTCGTGAGAATCATTGTAGGATAAGCCATTTAGGGCCGACTAGACTGACTGTTATATATACGCTGTACTAGATTAGTGCACCAAATAAACATTACCGGCTATATAATGATTGCATTGAAAAACACGCTATTTAGTTATTCTGGCGAGCCTTTTCTGATCCGCTTTTTCTAGCCGGCACTAGTTTTTGATCAATGCCGTTTGATTTGACTCGCATTTATTACATGTGGTACATGCACAGTGTAAAACTAGAAAGTGAGACCAAATGACAAAAACACAAAATTTGAATAATTGTTTGAACATTTGTTACGGATTTCTATATGTCATAACTTGTTAAATGATTCATCGCTCATTGCTACAGAAGTAATGATATAACAAAAAGGTACGAATCTACCCTAATATATAGCAAGTGTATTATTTTGCATCGTAAATAACTGAGGTATTTTGACGTCAATAAACCTTTCTTTGCTAAAGATTCAAGTAAATCATCAGTGAAAATATGTCTTCTTTGCGAGAATATCTGGTTGCTGTTATTTCCAGCTTTATCACACAATAAACGGCCTACATAAATTAATTTGAAAATACATGCTGCCAAAAACGATTCTCATACAGTGTTTAGCAACAATTTCCAGGGTGAATCATAACAGTTCTGTGCCTACGATATAGATGCAAAAAGTTACTTGTAGCAAAGGCCGCATGTAATACATAAAATCAAGAGCTAATAATACATGTATTATTAGCTCTTGATAAAATACATACTCTTATATACCACCTGCTTGTAGTTGTGAATTTGTAATGTAAGGAAGACCCTCTTCTCACACCCATAAGGGGCATTACCACAGACACGTGTGTGCCACCTTGTTGCTATCATATCAGAGTGAGAGAGAGAGCGTTCGCGCGCGCGAGTATGGTGTTCCAAAATTGCCATCGCGCGGCGTGCGGCTCTGCACGATTCAAATGTGCGACGTCGCGCACGACATCGCACATATCTGTTCCATAATTGTCGTCGCGTCGTATTTTCTTAATCCTTCCTCAACCACGACCTCGCCCTTTTTCATACGTATGCGCGCGAAAGAGAGAGAGAGCGTTCGCTCGCCGCGCGCGCGCGCGAGAGAGAGAAAGAGAGAGCGCTCGGCCGCGCGCCGCCGCGACGAGATTTATTAAAACGAATGTTAGAAATGTTACATACTAGAAGTAATGTACACATGAGGCGAATGGTAAATGCATTTATTCCTATGATAAAATAGAAAACATATACAGTGAGATTGCGTGTTATACAAATTAATACTTCCACTACTACTACTACTAATAATAATAAAATAAATAAATATAATACATTATTATTATTATTATTTATTTTATTAGTATTAGTGGTAGTATTGTATTATTATTATTGTCAACATCCACACCATCATTATCAGTAGTGTTATTTAAATTATGTGTGGCACTCAATATCGTAAAATTCCCCGCTTTGTAAACAGTCTCGAGGAAGAGCTGCGTGCACTAACCACAAATAGTGTGCACTTGACTTCCTGCTGATAGACAATCACAATATATACCTGCAAGATACCTACTCAGCGCTCGAAGATTCAATTAGCAGTCGATGTTGTCGCGTGCCGTGCTGCCGCTAGGCATCTCTTGAGCGGTACCAGACCCCACGGGCCCTCTGTGCTGTGTTTATCCATTCGGTTTCATTGACACGACGTCTTGCACATACACACACACACGCACGCATTCACGCACGCACGCACGCACACACACACACACAACAAGCACCAACCACACACACACACACAACAGCACACACACCACAAACACACCAAACGCACACACAGCACACACACACACCACCACACACACACACACCACAAACACACACACACACACACACCACACACCAAACAAACAAGACATTACACACAAGCACACACACACACACACACACACACACAGCCAAAGACGCTCTGGCGCACACACACACACCACACACACAACAACACACACACCACACACGACACACACACACACCACACACACACATGCAACACAACACCACACACACACCACACCACACACACACTGAGTGGGGGGAGACGCACGCACGCACAGTCTACCCTCTGCAACTCTTAGTAATTCACAGTATATAGCGACATGGTGCGTGAAATCAAACGTAAATTACGCGTGAAACAACCATAATATTGTCGTGTTATCATGGAAGACACTAACTAACTGTAAAATGACCAATGCACGAGAAGCGCTTTATCGTTATGCTCAGACGTTGAGTGATGTTCTAAAAATTGTTCAAAATCTACTGTATAAATACATCCTACGCTATATCTATACCTAATAATAAACCATGTATCATATACCTAAGTTCATCTATCGTTAGATCGACTATAGTGTAGCCTGTATGAAGGAGCGAGAGTGTGGACTGATGGATCCCATGGAATTCATCAAAGATGAGCCCCTCTCAGGTGGGTACATGTTCCATTCATCCCTTAATGGTTATGCATTTTCTACCTTTTTCCCAGTTAATAAAATAACTTGATCCCTATTAAATCCCTAAAATGTTTTTACCTTGTGTTCCCACGATCCCGAAAACTATTTTCCAGTTCCCTTAATCCCCAAATTTTTTTTACCACTGTTCCCCATAATTGTCTCGTGACGCTGGAGTAAAAAAGGACCTATAATTGTATACGCTAATAGTCCCTACAGCACACAAAGTTGAAATGACCCTGAAATACTTCAAAGTTTATTGTAAACAGTCTCAGAAAACTGAACAAAATCACAAAGATGGAAAATCAGAGTTCCCTTGTTCCAAAAAATCTATTCAGCGATCCCTTGTTCCCTGAAAACAATTCGGCAATATCTTCTGTACCCCGAAAGTTAATGCTCCTGTTCCATTGTTCCCTAAAACCACTGGGAATGGCTCAAAGATCATGGAGTTAGTTGCCTGCGAGCGTCGCTGACCTTGTTCGCATTATCGCGTTAGGAACCCTGGCGGAGGCTGCGGATAACCAGTTTGTGAACCTCAGTGTCGACGCTTTAATCACATATTCTTCCGATAGATGGTGCCACAATACCGTCTTTATTCTTTTACATCGTTTCATTCACAAATTACGTACGTGAATTCCTGAATGAATTCCTGAATGCTTGGCCGCGAGAGCATGTTCGTGTGCCATATCGCCCATGACTAATCGATAGCGCGGTGGTCTTCTGTTTGCTAACGACTGTATATGATGTATGATTGTAGTTGGCAATATACTGTGCACTCAGTGCGTTGTATAGACTGGTGTTCTCAATACTTATAAACAGACTTAGACATATGCGCACATACACACGCCCACGCACACTCGAACGCACGCACGCACACAGGCACAGAACCGCAATTTGCATAATTATAAATGGGCTTATCTGAATTAAACATTGGTAAAAATTGAATACAATTCCACATGAGAAAATTTTATCGGTACTCATATACGCTATGCGTACCGTATAGTTACGGTATAGCTTATAGGGTCTATGTCCCCCAGGGTACTGCCGGAAAGTACCCTGTGTACGGTCCGGTATACCGGAACGTACCCTGGTCACTATTTGGTATGGTTAGAATTAGGGTTAGGGAGTAGGCGTAGGCGACTCCCTAGACTCGTTAGTGGAGTAGACGACGTACGGTCCGGCATATTAGATAGTACCAGGGTACGTTCCGGTATACCGGACCGTACCCAGGGTACGTTCCGGCAGTACCCCGGGGTACATAGACCCTCTCAGTAGTATAAGGTTTTTACTATGGATATGGCACATAAATACACAGTAAACTAGCAATGACGTTGCATATAAACGAATGA